TTTAGGGGTTTAGGGTTTAGGGGCTGAGGGTTTACGGGCTTAGGGTTTAGGGGTTTAGGGTTTAGGGCCCCCAACCCCCCACCCCTTTTAACCGATATGTAGTAGGGGTCTGTAGGGGAATGGAAAAGAACTACCACGGCAATTAGGGTTTAGGGTTTTGGCATAATTGCCCTGGGTATAGAGATGCATTGGGTATAAGTGTATATATGTAGGTGTACAAAGTTCTTGCTTGCCCTTAAAGGGCGTTTTTGGGAACAGATGGGTGAATATAGATATAGGGGTATATGGGGATTTCCTTACACCCTAAACCCTAAACCCTAAATTTGGGATGCCAGAGATGTAGGGCCTCCTCTTACTCTTGGTTATTAGCGATTAGGGTTTGTGATTGAGGCATTTAGGGCCTACAGCCAAGGGTTCAGAATTTTGGACTCAGGAGTTGGCACTTTGGGCCTGAAACTTAGGATTTCGTGTGCTGGATATAAGATTTCAGGCGTTGGAACTAGAATCCTAAACGCTAATCCCTAAAACATAAACCCTAATCCCTATATCCTAATCCCTCAGCCCTAGACCCCAAACCCAAACCTTGATCCCTAAAGCCGAATCCCTAAACCCTAGGGGACGGGATGGAGGACTGGGTCCCTAAGGAGCCCCCTCGTAATTAAGGGAGTTTTCAGATGGGTTTTACAGTTTAGGGAGTTACTAGGTGGGTGCTCTTACATAAATAAAGCTTATGTAAGACTTATATGGGGACACGAGGACTATATCAGAGTCTGTGTAAGGCATATGTAGACAGGGTCTCCAGGAATACTGTAGTTTCCATTTTGTTTTGCATTACTTCATTCCCTGCTAACAACAGAAAAAATTGAGGGGGTTCATTGGCTTATGGTCGGGCGATTTTTGGGCATGGACGTTTTGTTGGCTTTAGGCGTTTAGGGCTTTGGGCGTTTTAGGCTTTGGAACGAAGTAGTTGCAATGAAGAGACTAATCTCATCATGACATTAGTAGAGCTAGTGTATAGATTCTAGCCGCCGTTCTTGGCTTTCAGAAGCAGATTGCTGATAGCCTGAAACCTAAATCCTGAACCATAGTACTCACCAGAAATCACCTTCATGACAAAATAACAATGTCAGGGCGTCAGCTCATTGTACGACCTGCGTGCAGCTTACGCCCTACTACAAGGAGGGGGCCTCACTTACAAGTTGGGTAATAAAAGGAATCATTATGGTTATAAGTCCTATGAATACTGCAAGGGCAAGTAATGCTGACACAGATACCATTCTCCCTCGTGGTTACTATTGGTGGCTGAGGGATCAGCTGGTCCATGCCGAGTATCGAACGACTGTGCAACTGTATTGAGCACAATGAAGCTCTGATGCAGACACTCCACCCCGAAAACCCTAAAACCCTTGAAGTCAAGGTAAATGCCGTGGCACATTCAATGGGGGCTCCTTACAAAGGTGTTCAGCGCTGCGATATAGGGTTTAGCGTTCAGGCCTGAGAACCGGACGAAAATGTGGGAATTCTGTTAACATTGTGCAAGGTTTTACTTTAGCACCCGCCCACTGGGCACCCATTGGGCTCTGTACAAACTGGCTAACAGTCAACACAAATTGTAATTGCAAATGTAACGTTCTCAGATTGAAGCCATGGGCCCCTAGTATGGGCCCCTAACCCTGAGATCCTTATATACCTACTATGTACCCTTTAAGGGTCCCTAGAATCCCCCTAACAGACCTAAGGGCCCATACTTCACGACTTAGGGCCGCAAGGTTCCTTTTCTGATCCCCTCCCCCTA